AGCTAAGGAACTGAGAAAAGAGTCCATCACATTTTGGAGAGACGGAGCAAGTTCCAGTAATCTCTGTGAAGGTCAGAGATCAGGCAGATAGCTGGGAGGTTTTCAAGGCTGAAAACACACCCTGAACCATAGTCATTGATTTAGGGGAGCTAGAGACACCTGGAGGATGAGGGACATCAAATACGCAGCAGCGTAGAGCAGCAGTGGACGCTGGGCATTAGTCAGAGGGCATTGGCACTGGCACCACTGTCTGTGTCCCTGTATATGAAGGCATCTGTGTCCTGCTAACACAGTTCTTTAAAACACTGTCCTTTTAGGAAAAATATCTAAATAAATAAATAAAATAAAAGACACAATATCCCTCAAATATGAGTGTTTTCAGCTTAAAAAGTGAGAAATGACACATGAGAATATTTGAAGTTGAGAAGTGTTAACACATTTATATCATCTCCCACTTGCAGACATCTTCCTTGTGTTGGGGATCTGAAATGTGGAGGCACTACTCTGCTTTATGCTTTCCCTCCATCTTCTGGCCATGGTCTTGCTCAAACACAAAAAGGTGGAGACGGACTTCTTACATTACTTCTAAATAGTAGGGCTAGGATGACAAGATAATAAACTGAAAGAAAGCTTTACATTAGACATTTGGAAGGAATTCCCAACATTCCATAGATCATGATGTGAGGCATGGAGATGGTATAGAACAGGCTGCCCAGAGAAGATGGGACTGCCCCATCCCTGGAGATGTTTGAGATGTCAAGGGCTCCAGGCATCCTGATCTACTGTGGGACAGCCCTGCACACTGCAAGGGAGATGGAACTGGATGGTCTTTAAGCTCCTTCCAACCCAAACCATTCCAAAATCCTAAAATTCCTGTCAGCCTCTTCCAACAGGGGATCATGTTTGCTTAGGTATTCCCTGATCACCTCTTTCTTCACCAAGGACTTCTGCCTTGCACCAACATTTCCCACCTGTTTCTGCCACCTAGGATTCCAAGAAGCCCAGTCCAACTAATAAACCGTGAGGTCAGGAAGAAAATGAGTATCAGAGGCTTTTCCATGTCCTGTCTCACCAGATTCCCTGCCCCATCCTACTATGGGCCCACTTTCTCCCTAGCCTTTCTTTTGTAGACTACATATTTCTACAAGCCCTTCTTGTCTGTGAAATGCCTGGGCATATTCAATTCCAGTTGAACTCTGACTTACCTATACTCATCTCAGCATGTACGCCTCTGCATTGCTGCCAGGTGACCTCTTCTTTTTTCTACTACCTATTTGCTTCCTTTCTGTGTTTGTGTGAGACCCATGCAATCCATTTCCAGTCATGCAGGAATTTCTGACATTTTTATCTGGCTTTCTCTTCCTTGGAATGGACGTATTCTGCCTGGAAGCCAAGATTCCCTAGATATTTATAACATTTTTTGACTCTATTCCCTCAGAGCCTTTCCCTGCTGTTATGTACCCCACTCCATAGCTTGGAAGAATCCAAGGTATGCTCTCCTGAAGGCAAAAGCTGTTTGACTTTTGCCTTCCTTTCAGAATCCTCAGCTCCACCATCCCATGGCCACTGCAGTCCAGGTTCTCTTTGATCTTCACATTCCACACCATCCCTGCCTTGTTGGTGAGTATGAGATCCAGCAGAGCACCTCTCCTCTTTGGTTCCTCCAGGGCTTGGTCAAGAATCTGCCAACTGTGCCCTCCAGGGACCTTCTCGATGTTATATGTCCTGCTGTGCTGTCCTTGCTGCAGGTAGTGGAGAGAAATAGGCCCCCAAAGGGGACAAGGGCCTGACAACATGAGGCTCCCATCTGTGTGCAGAGGGCACCTTCCACTTGCTCTTCCTGATCAGGAAGCCAGGAGCAGACATTGTTGGTCTCTTCGGTTTGCCATTGCCATTCGCTCTGACCTGGCTGCTCTGCCATCCCCATCAAGAGCTCAGTGCACTCTCACAGAGGGCAGTGGCCCTTCCTTGTCTTCTTGCCCATCCATTGTAAAGACTTGTGCTACAGTCCAGTTGTGGAAGCCATATAACCATGTCCCTGTGGTCCAAACAACAGCTCAGACCTGCAAGTGTACAAAGCTTTCTAGCCTAGCATGTGCTGGTGTTCTCATTAGTGTAAAAACATGTAAAAAAACATCCTATTCAGGAGGCATTATTGGATTCAGTGCATCCATAGAATCATAGAATCACAGGTTTGGAAAGGACCTACAAGACCATCTAGTCCAACTATCCTCCCATCACCATTACTACCACCAGCACTAAACCAGATCTCGTAGCTCCTAATCCAAGCACCACTTGAACACTGCCAGGGACGGCGACTCCACCACCTCTCTGGCAGCCATTCCAGTGCCTGACTGCTCTCTGAGATAAAAAGTTCTTCCTTATGTCTAACCTAAACCTCCTGTATAACTTGCGGCCATTTCCCCGGGTCCTGTTTGTTGCCTGGGAGAAGAGGCCAAACCCCTCCTCACCACAGCCTCCCTTCAGGAAGTTGTAGAGCGTGATGAGGTCTTCCCTGAGCCTCCTCTTCTCCAGACTAAACAATCCCAGCTCCCTCAGCCGCTCCTCTTAAGACTTGTGCTCCAGACCCCTCACCACTTTCGTTGCCCTTCTCTGGACACGCTCCAGGGCCTGAATGTCTTTTTTGTAGTGAGGGGCCCCAAACTGGACACAATAGTCAAGGTGCGGCCTCACCAGAGCTGAGTACAGGGTGATGATTCCCTCCCTGCTCCTGCTGGCCACACTATTTGTCATGCAGGCCAGGATGCCATTGGCCCTCATAAATCCATGGTGGCACAAAGGCATTGAACACATTGTGGGTGCCATCTTGTCCAAGCAGCACAGACAATGCAAGGACATGGCTTTCCTGAAGGCCCAGTGCTGAATTTGCAGCTGCATGTGGGTGTGCTGGACAGCCCGGGGAACTGGCATGACACTAGGCTGCTTCTGATGCCATTCACATGAGAGCCCATAGAAAACTGAGGTTTCATCAGTTGAAGAACAAAGACGTGTATTAGCTTTGTAGTGCCTTGAGCTCAGAATATACAGTAGATAGAGAACAGAGAAAGATCCATTTAGTCAACTGCATAAATCTCCATGTTCCATGGAGATGGGTGGAAAAGGGTCACTTGGGTGCCCTAAACACAGGAGTCTGTTGCCATTTAGGATGAACAAGAATACCACTATCCCCTCTCTTGCCCTCAGCTGATGCTCAGGAAGGAGGTGTCTATCTCAGGGATTTCCCACACACTTTACAAGCACTAGCACACATCCAGGAGCACCTCAGGCACCTTGGTCATCACCCAGGGTCTGTGTGTGAGCAACTGACTCCCCGCTGAAGGACCAAGGACTCAGAGCAGGAGCTCACATGCAGGCAACTCTTTGTGCACATCTGAACTGAACCAGAGGAATCTCAGCTCCTGTGGGTCCGTGGGGATCTGAACACCATTTCAGCTGCAGGTTTTCCATCTAGGGATCAGATGCCTGCACTGCTTCAGCTGGATCATTGCCATGCCCAGGGGAAGTGCGCCCCTCCCTGTCCTTGTCTGAGTGCCCTTTCTGTTACAGCAGACACTCACTGTTAGGCTAACCATATGTCTGGAGTTGGTCAGTGTCCAGTGGGCATTTGGTGGTTAATTCAGCAGATTTCAGAGTACAGTCATGATGCTGTTTTCTTACAGGAGATGTTGGCCATGGAGATCCAGGGACATCTCAGGGGAGATCATAGGGAGGATAGAAATGACATCCTCTGCTGCTGAGCTGTTCTGGGCTCCCGGGACACAGAGAGCTAATACAAGTGGGCAGCACAGCAGGTAGACAGCTGTGCCCAGGAGCAGCTCCTGTGCAACATACTGCAGGGCTGGGGACATGATCTGCAAGTGACAGAGAGAAGAAGGAAAAGAGCGTACAGGCAGTGTGGTATGCTAGCGGGCTGTGAGCTCACTGGAAGAGCATTGCTCACAGCCCTTGACAAGGTAAGTCTCTCATTACAGGCAGCAGAGTGGCTTTTACTGCAGGGATATCTAAATCAGGGACATCCCTTTGCAAAACAGGCTGCATACCCTCAGTTTCTTGATCATGGAAAAAGACCTGCTCCAGCTGAAGGCTTCTCTGCTGCTGCATCAGAGCACAGCCCTGAGGGCTGCGTGTCCCAGGACGGCTGCAGGCTGTGCAGCCGGGGCTGCAGCCGGGTGCCCAGGGCTGTCCTGCAGAGCAGGTCCCTGCTGTGCTCCAGGGGCTGTGTGCCGGGGCAGGGACTCTGCCGCCTGCCAGGCTCAGCACTCAGCACTCAGCACTCAGCCTGCCTGAGGAGCTGCCCAGGGCACTGCGCAGAGATGTGTGGGGGAAAGGAGCCCCCCGGCAGGGCAGGACATGTGCCTTCTGCTGCCACAGCTGCTGCCTTGGGCAGGGGCATCACAGCTACACTGCATGCCAGAGTGTTTCCAGGGGCACTTTGAAGAGCAGAGATAAGGAAGGGATTTTCCTTTTCCTATTCTGAGAAAAGGGAAACAGGTTGTAGGCAGAAATCTAAATCAGGCTGTCAACTTTGAACACAGCTCTGAGACTCCTGAATGGTGCTTTAATCAATCATCTGTTTTGCATACAGTCACCCAGAATGTGCTTTCAGTCTCTCCTTTCATTTTCTGCATACAGGAATAATGCACTTCTCTTGCAAATAGGTAGCTTTCCCTATCAGAAATTTAGGGGCACAGAGGTAGGTGCTGGAGACTTGAAGAGCAGCTGGGGTAAAGATATGAGACATGGAAACAGATGAAGATATCCGCAAAGATAGGGTAAGATCAGAAAATGAGAGGAAGGAAAAAGCTCCATAAGCTTCTTCTGCTTATGGAATGCTGAGCTTCATGAAATTAATTTCAAGTAATGGAGCAAATGAACACTGCAATAACGGAAAGAAAAAGTTTTGTAGTAAAGCAGGAGGAGTGACTCTGAGAATGGTCTTGTCATTATCTTCTGTATTCTGAACAGGACTCCATGCCCAGATGCCCAACAGCAGCTCCATCAGCGAGTTCCTCCTGCTGGCGTTGGCAGACACGCAGCAGCTGCAGCTCCTGCACTTCTGGCTTTTGCTGGGCATCTACCTGGCTGCCCTGCTGGGCAACGGCCTCATCAGCACAGCCGTAGCCTGCCACCACCGCCTGCACACCCCCATGGACTTCTTCCTCCTCAACCTCGCCCTCCTCGACCTGGGCTGCATCTCCACCACTCTCCCCAAAGCCATGGCCAATGCCCTCTGGGACACCAGGCACATCTCTTACACAGGATGTGCTGCACAGGTCTTCTTTGTATTATTCTTATTTTCTGCAGAGATTTTTCTTCTCACCATCATGTCCTATGACCGCTACATTGCCATCTGCAAGCCCCTGCACTATGGGACCTTGATGGACAGCAGAGCTTGTGCCAGCATGGCAGCAGCTGCCTGGGGCACTGGGGCTGTCTATTCCCTGCTTCACACTGCCAACACATTTTCAATACCACTTTGCCAAAAAAATACCGTGGACCAGTTCTTCTGTGAAATGGCCCAGATTCTCAAGCTCTCCTGCTCAGAATCAGACTACTTCAGGGAAACTGTGAATATCTATTTTAGTATTTGTTTAATCTTTGGTTGTTTTTTATTCATTGTTCTGTCCTATGTGCAGATCTTCAGGGCCGTGCTGAGGATGGCCTCCCAGCAGGAACGGCACAAAGCCTTCTCCACATGCCTCCCTCATTTGGCCGTGGTCTCCCTGTTTGTCTGCACTCTCTTGTTTGCCTACCTGAAGCCGCACTCCCTTTCTTCCCCATCCCTGGACCTGGTGGTGTCATTTCTGTACTCCGTGGTACCTCCCACTGTGAATCCTTTCATCTACAGTGTGAGGAACCAGGAGCTCAGGGATGCCCTGAGGAAACTTTGGGAAATCCCAAAGTGTTTGTTACTTCCTAAAACTTGCATTACCTTTTAAATATAGTTGTTCTAATTATGTTATTATAGTCAATTATGTATTTTTACCGAGTCATCTCATGTGCCTACAGCACTCGGCTTCCTATGTCCATAAACACAATGAAGAGGACAGCAGAAATTCATTTCTCTCAGCTCACTTTTCTTCCCTTCTCCTCTAGAGCTGGAGGAGAAACCCCCTTATGCAGGAGGGATCCAGGGGTCAAGAGCCTAAACAGCAACCCAAAATTCCTTGGAGGCTGCCCCCACTACTCAGTGAGCTTCTGCTCCTGAAGTTCTTTACTATGAGAGTGGTGAGGTGCTGGAACAGCTGCCCAGAGAGGTCGTGGATGCCCCATCCCTAGAAGTATTCAAGGCCAGATTGGATGGGGCCCTGGGCAGTCTGGTCTAATATGAAACTGGGAGGTTGGTGGCCCTGCATGTGGAGGGGGATTGGAGATTCATGATCCATGAGGTCCCTTCCAACCCTGGCCATTCTGTGATTCTGTGATTCTGTGATTCTGTGATTCTATGATATTGCTCCTCACTGCCTTCAAGTCAGGGCTGCTGCTTTCCTGGGGCCATGACGATGGGCAAGGGCGAGATGTGGTCTTTTGAGTGCTGCTCTCTTTCCACTTCCATGCTTTCATTTTGTACCTCTACACTCCTGGTAGCCCTCGGGTCTCACATGAATTGACAGCAGTCCTGTTGTCTCCACAGTGGCATCCAGTGGCACCCAGTAGCAATGAGGTAGCAGGCAGGAACAGGCAATATGTACCAGTGTGTCAGTGTTTGTCTCGCTGCTGCCAGCACCATAAGACAAGGGGCTGCTTGTCACAGTCTAGGAACACGACACAGGGTTCTTGTGCAAAAATTTTCTTTTATTTTCCCATGCAAGGTTTTTATAGTCTAATACTATGTATTCAGGACATTTCCACTAAAAATCCATTGGCTAGAAAGCAAGCAAGTTGCAAAACAGATCTTCATAACAGCAGCAAGTGTATCTTACGCTTAGATACTGTAAGAAACATGCTCAAGGTCAACAATTTCTAATCAGGCAAAGATCTCTGTGAAGAGCAGTTTGTTCATTATTGCAATAATGGGCGCACAGCTCCTATTGACCAGGGAGAAAGTGCACAACTAGTCAGCAAAATCCATCCCGTTACGTACCCTGGGTCTGACACAGGTAAAGCCTCTCCTGGCACTCACTGGTTGAACATCTCAGGCTCACAATCTTCTAACACTATGGCTACATTACACTTCCATAGCTACATTACACTTCCATAGCTACGTTTACACTTCCACACAATGTCTGCTACCAATCCATTGTCTATGGGAATATTCTGGACTTTCTATTGTGATAGAAGGACAATATTTTCACTTGTTTGGTCTCTTCTTTACCTTAGTGCGTGTACCAGTTCTTCCTAGGTCAAAACGCCCCAGTCTCAACTTGACTCTGTTCAGGAGTTTCCTTTGTAAAAGCTTTCTTATCCTATGCTATATACAGAAAATACTGAAACTTCCACTGCAAAAAAAAACAATCTGCCTCTCACAGGCCCATGGCCATTCTGGGCCCTTCTGGACACAAATGAAAGGGGATTGTATTTGCACCATGGTAAAACATAGTATCATTATTATGATTATTAATATCATTATTCAACCTGCTGGGTCATCCTGGAATCTAGGTCCGTCTGTGCACATGTGGGTCATTCAAGACTCCTGTAGACACAAAAGGAAAGAAAATGCACTCAGTCACATTTGTTTGCAAGCATTAAAAAGGTGACATCTATCAGGTGCTTATTCGGGATAACTTTACCAAACAATTTCTTGCTTCTCACACTTAGGGATTTTTGGGTATAGATAGTACCACTGATATTGCTCCAATCTGAGGCGTTTTCAGCAGTACAGGTTGTTGCAGAATCCCATAGGATCTTTTCCTGGCTTGGTATGAACTTCTAGGATGGTTGTATTCACAGATAGACAAACGGCTTTCATGTTGAGGCAGCCACCCCTACTTCATCTATTAGTTAATTGGTTGGCAACATTATACAATTGCAAACACCACCCAGATTCAAGTATTTCTGAAAGAAACTTAACCAACCAGTTGGTGTGTTCAGCGATACCCTTAGCCTGAGAATAGCAGGGAGTGTGGCATACCCAACAAACCCCTTCCTACTTGGCCCAGTCTTAGAATTGTAGAATCATAGAATCCTTAGAGTTGGAAGGGACCTCTGAAGGTCATCTAGCCCAACTCCCCTGCAGTGCACAAGGTCACCACAGCTCTATCAGGCTGCCCAGGGCCTGATCCAGCCTCACTTAGAAAATCTCCAGGGACAGGGCATCAACCACATCAGTGGTCCATGTCTGCCTGTGCCTCACCACCCTCACTGTAAAATACTTCTTCCTTATATCTAACTTAAATCTACCCTCTTTGAGTTTGAAGCCATTTCCCTTTGTCCTTGCCACAGAAGCTACTAAGGATTCTGTCCCCTTCTTTCCTGTATCTCCCCTTTAGATACTGACAGGCTGCTCTCAGGTTGCCTTGCAGCCTTCTCTTCTCCAGGCTGCACAGCCCCACCTCTCTGCCTGTCCTCGTAAGAGAGGTGTTCCATTCTGTGGATCAGTTTTGTGGCCCTTCTTTATACGTGCTCCAACAGCTCCATGTGCCCCCTGTACTGAGGACTCCACATCTGGATGCAGTACTCCAGGTAAACTCTCAGCAGCACACAGTAGAGGAGCAGGATCACCTCTCTTACCCTGCTGGCCACGCTTCTTGTGAAGCAACCCAGAGTACGGCTGGCTTCCTGGGCTGTGAGGGCACATTGCTGGCTCACGTCCACCTTCCCATCCATGGTTGTGTCAACCACACCTCACAGCTTGGGATTTCATGATTGACAAAAAAAAAAAAAAAAAAAAAAGCTTCAAGGTAACAGCCATGTACCATCCTGTGGTTTTACCTGCATGACCATGGAGAGGGTATGAGGATGTGGGATGGCAAAACCCACCTCAGCCCTACAGGCACGGGTACGTGAAGTGCAAAGGAAAACAATCACAAGAAAGGGTCCTTCCAGGAAAATGTCAGCTCCATTTTCCAGTGAGCCTGATGGACTGATCTTATCTCTGAGGTTGTCAGTGCACCTTCTGGTTTCTACACACAAAAGATGAGTTATGAATACATAAATCAGAACTTGAGGAGCCGTGCCTGCGGCTAGGTAGAAGAAAGGGGCAATTGGGTTTATTGGACTGCATGGATTCAATGGCCTGGCACATCAGGGCCACGGAAATAGGAGGCTCCAGCTGACACTGGTGCACAATGTACTCTAATGCCATCAAGTTATAAAGGAACAAAACCGATTTGTATTTCAGGAGTGACAGGGGAACACAATAGTTAACTAAGCTAGAGGCCAAAATGAGCCTAATTAAATGAGTGGCAAAAGAATGTTTGTGATTACCATTGTAACTGGCCCAGAGGCTCTGTGCATCCCTGCTACAGATTGCTTTGGGAGATAGCACTTCAAGGACCCAAAAAGGGTACTGGTGGGGTTTCAGTACAGCTGCCTTGGAGATGGAGGGCATTAAACTGCTGTATAGCTTGTCTGGTCTCTCAGAGGACCATTCTGTTGCAGGATTGCTAAGAGCAGAAAGGCAGCAGGTGCCGATCGCTAATGAAATGGCATGTTGACGTCAATATTGCATCAACAGGGACTCCCTGTTTCTCATTCATCATCTGATTCACCACCTGCAGAATCAAGGAGTAATCAGCAAGATTCACTCACCCATTTGGTCCTCTAGACTCACTATTGTCCTATTTGGCCCAAAAGTCTAATGGAGAAGAGAGGAGTAGAGGACTATCATGGCCGGAATGAAGTCACGCCACTGCTAAGCACTGCTGCGCCAGGCATGCTAGAACTCCAATATGAACTGGAGTCAAAGGCAGCCAAGTGATATGTCACAACTGACAATGGCAGTGCGTTTTTCTCCACCTGTCTAGCAGCAGAGTGCAGGCCATATTTGGCTTTTACTTGGAGGGGCAATATGGAACAGTATTTGGGCATGTGTGTTATACTCACTCAGCCACCCTGAACATGGCTAGGCAATGAAGGGTGTACATGAGACAGAGACCATTTTACCCCCAGGGCAGCTGGGGAGTACAGCTTGGGCTGAAGAGAGAGAAAGACGTAGTTCTCCCTATGGCACATGAATCCATTTTCTCAGCTCTGTATTTCTGGGTGCTGTTTTGCACAAAATGAGTAGAGAAGAGGTTCAATTGACTCCACATAGGTATCTTTCACTTCACTTAGAAAGATTTCCCACCAAAAGAATATCTCCAGATTCAGAACGAGGTACCTCAATCAACTCATCTGAGTAATTTTCTTCTGCTTGGGCACCTGTGATCCCTGCCTGTCACTGCCCAGGTGTCCTGTCGGTGTTGGGACAAGGGAGGGTGGTTTTTCTACTTAACTCTGTCTCTGACAGGAGCAGTGACACTGCTGGGAAGGAAAGTGCTCTCCCACGCAGAGGAAAGGAACATCAAGGACTCCTTCAGTATTTTTCCACATATCATCCTGTGGAGCCCTAGGGACATCTGCAGAGAGCCCACAGGGATGGAGAAAGGGATCCTTGTGCCTCTGCTGCTGAGCTGGGCTGGGCTTCTGGGACACAGGGAGCTCATACAGCTGCTGGTACAGGAGCAACTTCTCTGCACAGTGCAGGACACCGAAGACATGGCCTGTAGGTGACAATGAGGAGACAGAAGGGAGAGAAATGCAACACGCTGTGTAGAAGGAAGAAGGCTGAGTTCACGGAAGGATCAATGCTCGCAGACCTTAACACAGTAAGTCTACATTGGCAGGGCAAAGTACACAAGACCATGCAATCGCTTCTGGTCTTGTTAGACCAGTGTATCAGTCAGGAGGCACTCCATGCTTCTTTACTGCAGAGCAGGACCTGCCCAGCTGAGGGCTTCGGTGCTGCAGCATCAGCACAGCCCTGAGGGCTGCGTGTCCCAGGACGGCTGCAGGCTGTGCAGCCGGGGCTGCAGCCGGGTGCCCAGGGCTGTCCTGCAGAGCAGGTCCCTGCTGTGCCCCAGGGGCTGTGTGCCGGGGCAGGGACTCTGCCGCCTGCCAGGCTCAGCACTCAGCACTCAGCACTCAGCACTCAGCCTGCCCGGGGAGCTGCCCAAGGAGCTGCGGGGAGACATGGGGGGGGAAGGAGCCCCCAGCACAGCAGGGCAGGGCAGGGCAGGGCAGGGCAGGGCAGGAGCCTTCTGCTGCCACAGCTGCTGCCTGAGGTAGTGGCTCTTGACACTTCTGTGGAGACTTTCCATGTATCCATCTTTCACATAAGGACCTTGCAGAGTATGAGCTTTTATTTTTCACCTAAATGAAAGCACAAATGTGTTTGCATTAATCACCGAGGCTCTTGCATCAAGAAGGAGATATTTGAAGCAGCTCCTGTAAGGAACATCTTCAGAACGTAAATATGGGCACAGACAGATAGGGAACTTTTGAAGTAAGGCTCTGCAATGAGGTTTTGGACTGTGCTGCTTGGGAGGTGTGTGCAGCTGGGTAAGGAGCAGGCTTCCTGGAGTGCCCCCTGTAACCGCACTGCTGATGGGGGATGTTAAGCTCCAGTTCTGCTACAGATCCTGTCCTAGGGGAGTTGTCTTAAGACCATGTTGCCCCTCCCCTTAACACTTCTGACGATTGGTGCAGTGTGATTTTTTCTGATTAAGGAATGAGCTTGTTCTCCCCAGGAGACATCAGCTCGAGGCTACCACTGCGGCAGTGCCCTGGAAGGCTGCCGCAAGCCCCAAGATGGGCACAGCTCCTGTGCGCCCATCCTCCAATCTGAGAGCCTTTGCTCCTATCATGTAAATCAGAAGCCTCACTATGTCCCTTTCCTCCTTCCCCACAGAGCTCTTCTGAGAGAGAGCAGTTGGACAATGGCCCTCTGCACAGCCCGGACTCTTCTCCGGAGCAACCTGTGTGTGCAGCCAGCCTCCAGATGAGCAAGGGGCAGCATGGGGCAGGTAGGAACAAGCCTGATGGACAGAGCAGCTTGACTCTTCTCTAAGTGACAGTGAGGGGGTTTTACATCTGTGCAATGACTTATGCTTACACCTGGAAAGCAAACTGATTTAACAATTTCACAATTTATTTTGTGGGGAATCCTAATCCAAAAACAGGTGTGAATTTAATTTAATCATTTGGAGACTGCACACAACAAAGGTTTTTCATCCTATTACTTATATAGAATTTGAAGAATCTGCATTCTGCAAATTGATTTGAAGTCAGGTTTTTCCCATATCAAAATCACAAAATGTGAAGAGGTTTCATTCAGTGCTCATCTCATGAGCATCTCTCTCTCCCTTTCCCAGCATGTCAGCATGAGCTCTGTGATTCTAACTCTATGGACCCATCTCTGAAGGACAGAAAAATAGGATGAGAAGAATCCCATCTAATTTTCTTACCCAGACCGATGGACAATGTGCCAGTTTCATGACTGTTGTGATAAACAGAGACACTGGAGAGAAACTGAATAATTCAAAGCAGGGATCCAGGTGCAGAAAACGCCCCCCTTCAAATCTAGAAGACTCTGGTGGAAACCTCCAGGTCCCGAGAATTTTAGAAAAGAGTGACTCTTCTGAAGACTTTTTCCACAATCTTCATGTCTTAACCTTGCACAGAACTACATCCCAAGAGGCAGCAGATGCCCAACAGCAGCTCCATCAGCGAGTTCCTCCTGCTGGCGTTGGCAGACACGCGGCAGCTGCAGCTCCTTCACTTCTGGCTCTTGCTGGGCATCTACCTGGCTGCCCTGCTGGGCAACGGCCTCATCAGCACAGCCGTAGCCTGCCACCACCGCCTGCACACCCCCATGTACTTCTTCCTCCTCAACCTCGCGCTCCTCGACCTGGGCTGCATCTCCACCACTCTCCACAAAGCCATGGCCAACGCCCTCTGGGGCACCAGGACCATCTCCTATGCAGGATGTGCTGCACAGGTCTTTTTCTTTCTCTTCTTCATCTCAGCAGAATATTTTCTTATCACCATCATGTCCTATGACTGCTACATTGCCATCTGCAAGCCCCTGCTCTACAGGACCTGTTCCCCAACTCCTCAAGCTCTCCTGCTCACACTCCAACCTCAAAGACATTTGGGTTCTTGTTGTCAGTGCCTCTTTAGCATCTGGGTGCTTTGCTGTCATTCTTTTCTCCTATGTGCAGATCTTCAGGGCTGTGCTGAGGATGCCCTCTGAGCAGGGACGACACAAAGCCTTCTCCACGTGCCTCCCCCACTTGGCCGTGCTCTCCCTCTTTGTCAGCACTGGTACCTTTGCTTACGTGAAGCCTCGTTCCCTATCCTCCCCATCCCTGAATCTGACAGTGGCACTTCTGTACTCAGTGGTGCCTCCAACACTGAACCCTCTCATCTACAGTGTTAGAAACAAGGAGCTCATGTGTTCAGTTAGGAAAATCATTTCACAAATGTTTCTGAATTGTCATAAGTTTATTTGCTGTTCTTGCTGTCTTTAGAGTCACTTGTTTTTATTGTTGTCTGTGATAAATGATTTCATATATGCAAGTACCACTGAGGAATTATGCTGATTTGTTTATATTTCCAGCTGTATAAATATGTGTCTAAATGTAGTTCATGCTAACTTAGCATCTGCTTAATAAAACAAGATATCCACAATGCGCTGCCTGAAATTTTCCTGAAGGTTTTGGAGAGGCCTTGAGGAGCTGAGCAATCACCAGCTGCACTGATTTTAACAAGAGCAAGTGTTAGATTCTGCATCTCAGACAGGGCAACCCTGACTGTGTGTATGGACTGTGGACAGAAGTCTGAGGAGCAGCTGTGGGAAAGGGATCTGGGGGTTCTGGTTGATGTCAAGTTGAGCATGAACCAGCAGTTTGCCCTGACAGCCAAAAGATCCAACCGTCCCCTGGGGTGCATCAGGGCCAGCACTGCTGGCTGCTGGGTGAGGGAAGGGATTGTCCTGCTCTCCTGTGTGCCGGTACAGCCTCACCTCAAACACCGGGTGCAGTTTGGGTGCCACAATGAAAGAGGGCCATCAAACTTCAGGCGTGGCAGTGGGGCAGGTGACAGTCTTGGTGCTGTCCTAAAGGACCCCCACACCTAGAACTGAAGTGACAAAAGCAGCCCCAGGAGCAGCACTTGTTGGTGGAGGGGGATCAGCACAGGGGAATGGGCTGGGACAATGCTCTGACCCTGTCATGGTTATCTCTGGATCTATCTGCATCCACGACAGGGGGACAGCAGGCCCACAGGTCCACTGGTCCATAAGAGGGGGAGGAGAATGGGAAGAGGGAATAAAGAGGGAAAGAAAACAAACAAACAAACAA